CGCTAGCATTAGCGTCTGGCGCTAATGTCAGCGTCTGGTGCTAACTTCATTTTTTCACGTCAGAACTCTGGTTTGATTTTCTATCTTTTTGGCTGATTTTCTCTATAAATAGCCTCCTAAAAACTCCGTTTTAAATCATCTACAATCATCAATTCTCATCAAATATAAACAACTCTCTAATTCTCTTCTCTCTCTAAAGCTAAAGCTTATTTTCTCTCTCCCTTTTCTAAACTAGCCTTTTTACAAACGAAATTCCGCATTCACAAGATCAAGACACACCTAGCCAAGTTCGAAGTTGCCTTTGCCCTAGACGTGAAAGGTTTTAATTTCTGAGGGTTTGGTCCCAAATCTCTATTTCAATTATTTAATTTAAATTTTGATTATCTTTTTCCTTGAAGTTACTAACGTGTGTATTTTGTTATTAGAAAGAGGTACGAGGCATCCAAGTAAGTGCTTTAATTGATTTATTGATTTTATGATATACAAATCATGCTTAGATTGTTATTTTGATTCGTAGTATCATGTTAGTATGTTTTATTGATTCCTAGTATCATGTTTAGGATGTTCCTAGTATCATGTTAGGATGCTTTCTTTAGTATGATATTTAGGGTGATTTTCTTATATCAATCATGATTCTTGCGATGCCTTTTATTTTCTTACCTAATATCATGTTAGTATCATGTTAGAGCTATATATTTGATTTTTATTGTTTAGTGACATGTTAGGGTTTGTTATTAATCTTGTTAGTATCATGCTAATGATCTTGCTATTATTATGCTTTAACATGATTATTTTAATTATTATGATTGTTAACATGATTATGATTTTTATTATGATTATTATAATAATTATTATGATGATTTATTATGTTGCTTGATATTTATTATTATTGCTTGATCACGCCTTTTATGCATGTTTAAAGGGAATTGGTATTTGTAATCACGCTTAATAAAATAATTAATAATCTTGTTTAGGGTTAATATGATTATAATTCAAGTGATCACCAATAATAGATTTATTTATGCATTAATATTCAACCAACATAGATAAACAGGTTTAGGGTTAATCCTATTGATTGCATGTTAGTCAGAAAGCGCACATGAATACGATCATAATAAAGTAGAGACCTATTATTAGGGCAGGTTCAATCTCTTTTAGATTGGATTTGTACCTTCATCCCCGAACTACCAGTCATGGTTCCAGACCTATTGGAGTTAACGATCTCCTGGATTGTTAAGGGGTGTAACCTTCACCTCGTGAACGGTTTACAAGTTTCTAAAACTTGTTGGCGACTCTTTTGCTCTAGCTTCCTTCCCTTTGGACGCCACCGTAGTTTAGTGTATGATCACAGTGGGGTTCAAGCTAGGGGTAATGCTTGAAATATTCCCTACATAATGTTGCCAAAAATATCATGATTCCACCTCTTTATATTGTGAAGAAATTCAGTTCTACCTTTAATAAAATCAAAGCTATGTAAATCCCAATTACTAACAAAAAACGAAGAAAATTCATCATGTTCAAGCCAAGCAGCCTTACACCTAAAAGTATAAGGACCACCTTTACATTTATCAAATAAAGATATTAAAATAGGACTATGATCTGAATAAGTTCAAGCAAGATGCGATACCTGCGTGTTTGGATAGGTATTCAACCAACTCGGGTTCCCCATTTCCCTGTCAAGGTGCTCCTGAATAAGCTCTAGACCTTCTCTTGCATTATGCCAAGTGAAAGGGTTTCCAGAGAACCCTAAATCAACCATGCATGCAGCCTCGTCCAATTTATTAAGGTTAACACACTGAGATTGCCTAAATTTCAGCCCACATGATTTTTCTGAAGGTTTAGTGACCTAATTCAAATAACCCAAAAAAATCCAAGGTGTATTGTCAGGGGGGAGAGAAGCTTGTAAATCATTTCATAACTTGTGCCTTTGAGTAGGAGAGGAAGGAGCATGGACAACAGTTAACAAAACGTCCTTGCTGTCAGGGCTAAATTTAAACAAAGCATGGAAATAATTCCTAGTTTCCCCTTCAATATAGCTAATTAATTCAACGTTCTTATTATACATCATCCAAATACCACCCCTTAAACCATTCGGATTGATGAATTGGAAATCATCAAAACCAAGTAACTTAGCAACTTTCTCAGCCCTTAAACCATCACTTTTAGTTTCAAGAATTATAAAAATACTTGGCTTGTGAGAAGTAATTACCTCCCAAGCATGAGGTATGAATTCATTGCGAGTTGCTCCCCTCACATTCCAGAATACAATCTTCATATGAAGATCTGGAAATTCAGAAACCGGATTTCCATTGTAGAACAAGACATCAAACTTGTCCCACTCCTTCCACTGCGTCGCACGATTCATTAGAACAACATCGTGCATCTTCAACGGGAGTACAATCGAGTCTACTTCTTTGATCGTGTTCTTTGTTTCCAGAAGTTGATGTCGATTTGAAGTCCCACAATCCCTTTTCGGATCCTGAAAATTTTCATAAAGTGATCTGGGCTTTCTAGATCTTGCTCGCTCTTTCCCAAATGAAGATCAATTATTTGTGGGTTGGTTGGGGGAGGAACTAGGTCATGGTTTAGATATCTTGGCCATGGTACTTGTTGTTGGTACCATGGTCGAATGGTCTGCTGAGATTGATGGGAGTGCTGGGGTGGAAGGGTCTGATGTTGCGGAGGGGTTGGTTTCGGAGGAGATAGAGAATTGAATTGAGTGTTGATGAGGTTCGAAATTTGGAGAAGGGTATTGTACATCAATTCTATCTTGGCTGGAGTCGGAGGTGACTCGGTCAATGACCATAGCAGAGGAGTCAAGGGTGTCGGAGGAGGGGTCTGAACTATATTGGAAATTTGGGCTGGAGTTATGGAGGGTCGAAAAGGAATTTGGGTCGCCGGAGGCGTGAATGGTGTCGGAGGTGGCAGAAATTGGTGAAAAGGGGGTGGCGGCATTCGCATCAAAAGAGGTTATGCCGGAGTTATGGGTTGGCTCTATAGAATCAAGGAGCTGGATGAGGATAGGGTGGTCGGAGGAAATGATTGGTGGAGAGGTGGAGTTAGGGAATCCCTCCGGTTGATTCTGACAGTCCGGCGGGGAGGACGAATTGGCGGGATTTTTGCTTTGTTTTTCTCCATTTGAGATGGGTTTCGTGTTTGTAATTTCAGTGGTTTGGTTTTCTTTGTTGATCATATTCTGGGTATTTTGAACTAATATATAAGAAGTTGAATGGTTTGCATGAATCTCTATAGCTAAAGCCGAGTTGTTGTGTGCCAAATGGCAATTGAGGTCTGAAGATGGAGCAATGGAAGATGAAAGGGAAGCGTGTGAGAGTAGAGAATTAGAAGAAAGATTTGGGGGATTTCGTATGTTATTTTCAAGGAAAGGCTCATCATTGCCACTTAATAAATTAATTTCTATATTCTGATTGGTGGATGAAGAAGGTGTGGGGTCTAGCAGAGCAAAAGGATTTGGAGAGATAGTGGAATTGGGTAAAATAGCTTGTTTTCCAAAATCCTTAGGATTTTTAGGAGCAATATTTGCTGAAATGGATTTGCTGGAAATAAAAGCTATGGGCTTCGTTGAGTTGGGCTTTGCTGAGATGGGCTTCACTGGAGTGGGCTTTGAAACCTGAGCCTGAGCAGATTTGGAATTTTGCTAGGATAGTAGTGTGACTTATTTTTTTTTTGGTGGAGACTTTGATTGACCAAATTTCTTTTTGTTAGAAACTATAGTCCAAGGACCATACTCATTGAGGATTTCTTGGTCTCTAGCTACTTGAGACCAAAATGGTCTCAACCAAGGGTACCAAGGTAATTTCGTTATAAAGCTGTCCTACTTTAAAAAAAAAAATCAGAATGTGGGGGCCCACACGTGTTCAGCAAAAGTTTTGAAATGAAAAGTCTAAAAAGTGGAGAGAGATTGTAAGGCTTTTGGAGGGAGAAACTGAAAAAACAGAGGAAAAAAATTTCAAGGGTTTTCAAAGAGAGAGAGAGAGAGTAAAATTGCAAGGGTTTTCATTTCAAGAGACGAAGAAGTTCTCCATAGATTTGCGATCAAATTCTGTAGATTTGAAGTTGTAGTGGACGCAAGAACGTTTTCGCGACAGTGAAGTAGCATTTTCGAACCGCTTTTGGTAATTATGTCGTTTTGTATTTTTTGATTTTGTGTGTAGTTAGGGTTTACCATAGTTCTTGCCTTATGTTTGTTTAAATTCCATTGAATTTGTAATTTGTGTTATTCTGTGTTGATTTTTGTTTGATTTTGTGTGTAGTTAGGGTTCTGGTTTTGATTTCTGTTGATTTTCTTGATTTTGTAATGCCATTAAATAAGGTTTTTGTGTTAGCGAGGGTCCGGTTGTTTTCGTTTTGGTTAAATTATAATGACTTAATTGTGTTTTTTGTTGGTTAATTTTGAATGTAGTGTTCTGCATGCCTACCACTATTGATTTTTGAGGATAATTACAATGTTGATTTCTGGATTTGATAAATTGTTGGAAGTGGATGATTCAAGGTTTATTTTTTTTCTGTTAAAATATGGATGTACTGTACAAATGGAATTGAAAATTTGTTGAAAATTGATGAGTTGGGGCTGTGTTGTGGTTTGTAGAATGATAGTTGTTTGTTGTACACTTGGTGTTGTGAATGAAAATGGGTGCGTTAGGTTGGTGCTTTAAAGTGGAGTGTTGGTGTGGTATTGATTTGTATTAATACCATTAGGTGTTTGTGTGGTATTGGTTTAGTCCCATGTATGGTTTATTAGATACCATCCTGGTTCTGGTTGTTATGGTGAAAAGTAAAGCCTATGTTGAATTTTTGTGTGTGTATTCTAAATTGCAGCATGCATGTGTGTCATTTAATGGGGGATTTGAGTTGTTGTATTTAATGAAATGTATTTATCCTTTGTTATAGTCATGGTGTTGGAGAGGTCTGGTGACTCCTCAATAAGCTGCAGACGTAATTGGGGGGTGAGTGTAATGAAGTTGTGTTGTAGTTTGTTGTATTAGCTTGGTTTACAGAATTCAGAATTTGGTTGTAATTTAATAATGACTAAAATATTGTTGTTATATTATAAATATTTTAGGCCAGTTTGAAAAACATTATGAAGAACACACCTGCCCCGGCTTCTTCTACCAAACAAATGGGTAAAAGAAAATTGAAAGCTGTAGTGGAGGATGTAGTAGTGGAGGATGTAGTAGTTGAGGATGAATTAGAAGATGACCCGGAGGATGATGGCAATGAAGAAGGCAGTTCTGAAGATGAAGATTATGAAGAAGAGGTGGAAGAAGATGATCCAAATGAGGTGTTAGGTGCTGGTGATTATGTTGAAGAGGTGGAGTACCTACAACCTACTCAAAGCGGGCGTAAGCGGAAAGTGGTTGAGAAGCAAGAAAAAGTTGTGCCCAACACTTCCAATCGCAGCAAACCTGTTCAGCAACAGAAGAGGATCTATAGAACGGTGAAGCGTCCGGCAGCTGTTAAAAGACAATTTGTAGAAAGACCGCATAGACAATACGTGGAGAGGCCGTCAGCAACTCAGAGGCAATATGTGGAAAGGCCCCCTCCAGTTCAGAAGCAATATGTGGAAAGGCCCCCTCCAGTGCAGAGGCAATATGTGGAGATGCCGGGCCAAGTACAGAGGCGAAGAATTGTTGTTGAACAAGATGATGAGGTGAAGTAAAGTAATAAGTTTGTTAAATTAGTTTGCGGTTAGGTCTTGAGTATTTATAAATGAATTTTGATTTTGTAGATTGATCTAGAACCGGGTCCATCGGTTGGTGAGAAGGTGAAAATGAACGGGGTTGTCGTTAGTACGCAGTTGAGGAAGTGTGGAAAGGTAAACCATGATCCCTTTTTTTTGGTGTTTCTGTGAATAGGTTATGTTAATTTTGTTCTGAATTATGATGATATTATGGGTTTCTGATTGTTTGTTTGATTTAATTTTTTTGGAGATTTCAGTCTGCAAATAACAACTGTCGGATTTCTGCTTTCTCTTATCTGATAACTATCTTGAACATTGATCAAGAGAAAATAGACCTTGTGACGAGGTGTGGGTTTGGTGGCTTGATGAAGCTGAAAGTAAAAAAAATTGATCGGAGGTTTTGTTATTGGCTCATGACAAGGGTTGATCATGATAAGAGTGTTTTAGTTGGTGTTGATGGGAAGGAGTTGCCTTTAGGACCAGAGCAATGGAGGTGTATATTTGATCTGCCCCGAGTTCCAAGACCTGTGCCAAATATGGTAGAGGATCCTTTAATTAAGAGTAAAGTAACGGACATTGTTAGGCATTATGGTGAGCTGAATGCAAGTGGGCGAGAGAATATTTCGATTCAAAAGGCATATGATTGTTTAGGACTGATGCCAATTGGAACGGAGGAGAAGAAGGACAATTTTATGAGGGTCTTTCTTACAGTTATTTTGGGCTGCATTTTGTGTCCAACGACTAACGGTCAGAGCATGTGTACTAGCTTGTTACCTGATGTTACTGTAGAGGCTGGTGCTAATGAGTATGACTGTTGTTCTTGTGTCCATAGAAGGCTGATGGGTTATGTGCGGGACTTTCAGAAAAGATTTGACCCGAAAGGGTATGCTGCTAGTGGGGGTGGATGTGCCCTATTTCTGATGGTGAGTTTGTCTAATATTCGATTGTTTTGTGTATTGTGTTTAAAATTGTATCATATTGTAGTGTATTTAGTTGTGTTTGGTTTTGCAGATATTCTATTTGGATCATCTTGCGTTGCCTCCATTGAGTTGGGGGACAATGCCCAGAATTGATGTGTGGGCCGATAAGAAATTTACTGCAGCTATTCAAGAGGACTTGTTGTCGTCTTTAGATTATGGAAAACTGAAAGTAAGTGAAACTTGGTTGATTTTCTATTCCGCATGGTTGTATATCATATAGTTGTTGTGGATTGATGGTGCGTATTTATTTGTCAGTTGGTTGATGTAGCGTACGGGGAAAGGCATCCATTGGAGCCTAGGGACTCTGTGGAACCATTAGAAGTGAGGGTTGGAAAGGAGGTATGGGATTTTGAATTTACCTTTTATGAGAATGTAACATGCTACACCTAAGAGATTGCAATCAATGGTTTTGTAATTGTTTCAATACTTGAAATAGTTGATTGTGGTTGGTCCCATTATTTGTAATTGTTTCAAGTTTTTAATTACCTTTGAATGTGGTAGATTAATGAAATGTAATGGTGCTATTTGTGTTGAGTTACTTAGTTTAGTTATATTACAGTATGTTGTTGTGATAATGTTATGGGAACTGAACTCTGTGTTTATGTGCTGAAATATCTATCAGTGTGGTATTTTTGAGTTGAGTTATATTTCAGTTGACCTCCTTCTATATGTCCACACGATGTCTCTGTGGGTTTGTGTGTTTGTGTGTGTGGTCACATCAAGGGTAAAATCTGTAAATGGAGATGTTTTCTCAGTCTTTCCATTAATTACATTTTTCCATCTTTATGTAGTTGTTGTGGTGTTTGTGATATTTGGTTGTGTTGTATTTGTACTGATTAGGTGATGAAACTGATGAAGTCGTATTTGGAAAAATTTGAGTGCATTCTTAATGCTGCTAACAGGGGCATTGTTAGGAGAAACTAGGATGGGGATGTAGATTTCGCAAATGTGGATTTGGATTTTGCATGAGAGTATGCGAATATGGATTTTGTATGGTCGTGTTGGGCACATGTGCCGGGTTGATAAAATGGATGCCATCACCAAATTGGACTTCACCATACGCATTGTTGGCGGTGAAGTAACCAACTGCCTCACTATGCTGGCTCATATGTATCCCACTAGCTAGCACCCTCCTGTTAAACGGTGGGGAAGGAACACTCCCACTTCCGGTGAACACCAACGGGTCACCAGCAAAGTATCCTTGGTTGTTGACCTATATATTCATATACATAACACAACTATGAATACAATCATCTCCAACACTTAACAACACACTAAAATATACACTTTACTCAAATTGATGTTACCTGACTATTGGGAAACATATTCCCAATATGGTGCCGAGAAGGTAATACATTTGGGAAACCAACCTATAATAATAAGAATGTGAGTAATAAAAAAAAGGGAAAATAATTGGCACAATAATAAAACACTTAAAGCAGTTCAACTTACTTGTTGTTGCATGAACTCAGGTGGATGGGGATTCACCTGACCGTATTGTACTTCGTTGTCATGTCCCTTGCCTTGTTTCTTTTTGCCCCCTGTCTTTGGTACCTTAGTCATGGCCTTTTCCGCTGGAGATGTGTAACGTGTTGTTCGAGGTCTCCCCTTCTTATTATTACCCCGAGGTTCAGGATCTTTCACACATGTAGAAGAATTTGGTGTATCCGTAGAACCTACAACACTACCTTTGTTAACTGAGCTTGGGGTTTTGGGGGTTACGGTTTTGGGAGCTTGAGGTACCATTTCACCATTAGGCGGCCTTTCTTCACCACTCGAACTGGCCTGACCCCTCAGCCAACGCATGCAACTCATCGAATTTTAGGCTCATTAGCTGAATCTAGTCCATTAACACTTCCACAACTTCATCAGATGTAGAAGCACGAAGTACAATAGGTTCAAGTGCTACACATAAGCTTATCATATCTTCGCACCTCCTTTGTTTTTGATGCGTCATGATACGCAACTTTGACAAGCGTATGTTTCCTACTTATGTCCTTTCTCCACCTATCCACAACATACATGGATGGAACTTCAGTCACTCCACTCATGTCTAACACCTTTATTATATGCCTGCAAATAATTCCATGACATTCAAAATGTCAACAGTCACAGTTTGCCTCTTTCCTTTCTGTACTATACACAACAGTATATACCTTCAATCGACCTTTTAGGGGAGTCTCCTTCTTCTTATTCTTGCAATAAATCCACACACGATCTGAAAACACATACTCCACCTCATTTTGTGACAATAACTTCTTCAACACAAGAGTGAGATATGCTACACGGTTGTACTGGTTTTGAACTTCCACAAACTTTGCATCTGTATACACCTTCTGGAATTTACCTTCTAAGGTAAATTCCGATATTAGAGGCCTAACGAATCGTGCACAATTAGCATCCGCTTCGTGCTCATTATTAGCTCGGCTCTCCATCGCCTTAATATAATTAGGAGCAAACTCACACAGCCGGGTATGTTTATTAATATAACCATCAAAAAAACTATTTATGCTCTCAACACGTTGAGTAGTCTGCATTCTTGCCCAAAATACCCCTTTAACGTACGCAAGAATCCACATCTCTCGCTCCTTGTATAGACCTACACACAACAAAACCAACTACAATGAAGCAACAACAAGATGACACAGCAACATAAGGAAATAAAAATCACCATTAAAAATCACCATTAATACAAAAATCACCATAAAAATCACCAACACAATAAATGCTTATGTACAAGAAATCCAAATAACCAGTCCACAAAAGTGCATAATTATACTATCCATTTCCACATTGTTATTTATCTATATGTCAACTGTGGTACTATCTTTGACTAGGATGGTAATACATTACTGGATTTGGTACAATTTGTGTGTAGAATGGTACCATCTGTGACTAGAAAGGTACCATCTATGGCTAGAATGGTATTCATTGCATTTTTATTCAGAAATCAAGTTCAATACTGAAATCTCTATTAGTAACTAACAGTGCAGATTTCAGATTTCAGAAATCATCTCCATAACAAATATTAAATAAAACAAGAACAAATTACCCTCAAATAAAAAATGAATTTAAGGAGCTACTAACCTTCCAGCCACTCGTAGCACTCATATTGTTCTAGCTTGAACTTTTTCACCACTTCCCACCAAGATTCAACAAATTCATCAGGTGTAATGCTGTTGTAGATCACACCTTGCAAAGCATCTTTCACAGCTTCGTAATCTTTTACAGCACCCAACTTCGTACCAAACTTTTTCATGATGTGCCACATACACCACCTATGACGTGTTGCCGGCATAGGGAACACGACTCTTATTGCCTTCCTCATCGCTGCATCTTGATCTGTCATGATAGCCGCCGACCGCTTTCCCCTCATGCAAGACAGCCATGTCTTGAATAGCCACTAAAATGTCTCAGCATCCTCATGTGATACCAAAGCACAACCTAATAGGATAGTCTGACCATGGTGGTTGACACCCACAAAATTTGAGAAGGGAAGTTCGTATTGGTCAGTAAGGTAAGTGGAGTCGAAGCAGACAACATCTCCAAAATACTGATACGCCTCCCTGCTCCTAGCATCAACCCACATGATGTCTTTCAATCGGCTCTTCGGATCAAGCCGATGCATGTGGAAATTTTTTTGGTTATTGGCAGTCATTTTATCAAAATACTCAAGCATAGCAGATGCATCACCGTTTTTCAACTTCAATCTCCTCTTCCTATTCACTAAATTATGAATATATTTTTTCGTAAGACTAACATTCCCGAATCCGTGTCTTTGGCCCGCCATGTTGTTGAAAATATAACTAACCGAGGCACCAGAAGCATGGTCAGTTTCAATCCTTTGCTCCAAATGCTTCGTAATCTTTTGCTTTCTGTACATTGCAATGTGCCTTGATAGCTCAGGATTCATAGTGTGATTGTGCTCATTAACGACTTTCATAATCTTCCACACACCGTCACTATGGCCTTGCCCATACAACATCACTGGACATTCACATTTTTTACTCTTCCTCTTCTTCGATGGCTCATCATATACCACAACCCTCTTCCCATTAACCCTCTTCTTGTATGTTGTAATTCCATAACACTCGCACTTCCAAACATAACCGCTATATGCCGCTTTGTTGTAAACATCATTATTTCTCCCACCTATACACACAACCCCAAATCCCTCTTGCTCTCCATATGTACGATAGTAATTATTCATGTCATCCCAAGAACTAAACTCCATCCTTACTTCTGGATGAGGTAATGCAGCTGCACCTATACATCTACTTGATCCCGAATTGTGTAAGTTGTGTCCACAATCATTATTCAACTCACCAACATCCCTGGGAAAGCTACAGTCAGCAGGGTCCTTATTCAAATAAAAAAATCCCCTCCATCAATATTCAAATCCTCATTTAAATCAAATTGCAAGCTACCATCACTATCTGATGAGCTATCTGAACTGGAGTTAACATATGTGCTCCCCTCCATGACACTGTTCTGGTTATCAACGTTACAATCCTACCCAAACAAACCAAATATTAATATAGTACTATCTCTTCTCACATTATAATACATTATAATAAAGGACAAAGCAACAATCTTCATAACATTACAATAAATCAACACCACTGCTATACAAAACAAAATTCATACTTGTAATCTATTTCATATTTCATCAAATAAATTACCCCAACACACATACAATCCGACTACCACACATAAATAAAACAAGTTCATATCATTAACTTACATCCACCTTCACTAATTCAATTCATGAATTATGTTCGAAACAGGTCCTTTAAGAACATACAAACGGAACCACAATGCATCGCTTAAATTCAATCTCAGTTCCATCACTTACGCATTTCACCGCTTATGCAATTCCATCTCAGTTAATGGGAATGAGAGTTCCAAAAATATCTGATCTTTATTTTAGATGGTACCATATTGTCATTTTTGCTAATACCAATTAGAAGGTACTTGGTACCAATCTGATATTTAATGGTATTCATTTTGAATGTAAATTATTGTAACATGCATCCTTTCTAAACTCTCTCTCAGTTCAATTGAATCAATTTCTTACAACTACCATCTTCATATTATCTCGATTACAACTACTTGTACCAGCAATTACAACTACTAGCCATTAAGTGCATTGATTTATTTCAGTTGAACAACTACCAGCAAATAAGGCATTGATTTATCAGTAAAAACTAATTCAGTTACTTGAGTTTGTAGAGAAAACTAAACCAATTCAAAGATTGTTCGAAACACCGACCTCAATCATCTCAATCTCTTTATTCGAAAAATTACTCATCATTTCGCCACCGGTAAACTTGTTGAAGTTATTAATTGATGAAGAATCTGAGTTAAATTGCGTGAATTAATTTAACAGACAACTAGGGTTTGAGTCGCCAAGAAATCCAGCTACAAAAATACTCCAACTCCTCCCAGCTGATTTGTTGATTATTGTTGTAGTCGAGCCTTCAAAAAATAATGGATGGGAATCCATTAATTTTTCCCAAAAAATTTGAAGAGGAGGGAAAAATTTGGGGGATTTGGATCCCGCCATGAATTTGGGGGAAAAATTGAAGGGGTGAAATATGTGAGAATTTCCATTTTTACAGTACAAAAACATTGGTCCCCCACTTGTTGTCCTTTTCTTTTCTTTCATTCAGCTATTTTGTTTGCATTCTAGCTTTTTCAATTCCATCTATTTTTTTTATTTGGTTGAGACCATTTTAGTCTCAAGTAGCTAGAGACCAAGAAATCCTCATACTCATTAGAAGTATAGGGAACAAAAACCCCTGATTCATGCATAGTGGAGGAAGTAGACTTTTCATGGATAAT